TAGAGGCGGCGGAGGCGAAATGCCCCGCGGCGAGTGGGAGCAGTGGCGGCGGCGGCGAAATGCCCCGCGGCGAGTGGGAGCAGTGGCGGCGGCGGCGAAATGCCCCGCGGCGAGTGGAGTAGTGGCGGCGGAGGCGAAATGCCCCGCGGCGAGTGGGAGCAGTGGCGGCGGAGGCGAAATGCCCCGCGGCGAGTGGGAGCAGTGGCGGCGGCGGCGAAATGCCCCGCGGCGAGTGGGAGCAGAGGCGGCGGCGGCGAAATGCCCCGCGGCGAGTGGGAGCAGTGGCGGCGGCGGCGAAATGCCCCGCGGCGAGTGGAGTAGTGGCGGCGGAGGCGAAATGCCCCGCGGCGAGTGGGAGCAGTGGCGGCGGCGGCGAAATGCCCCGCGACGAGTGGGAGCAGTGGCGGCGGCGGCGAAATGCCCCGCGGCGAGTGGGAACAGTGGCGGCGGCGGCGAAATGCCCCGCGGCGAGTGAAGCAGCGGCGGCGGCGGCGAAATGCCCCGCAAGGAAGAAAAGCGGTGCGAGAGTAGTGGCGACGGCGGATAGGTCGCGGCGATTGAGACGCCGGCAGCTGAGAACGTAAATGCGGCGGCAGGAGCTGAGGCGAGAAATTCGCCTTACGAGAGATAGAGTAGGAGCTGGAGGGAGGTGGTGACTGGTTGTACTTTACGGAAGATTGAACTTCAACCAAGTCAAACCCACGCAACAAGTTGCATGGGCAGGACGGAAGGGTCCTGACGAGCGGGGAGGAAAAAAAACTTGAGAGAAAGAGGTCGAGAGGGGCGTTTGCCAATTGGCTCTGAATACCATGAAAGAATCTCAAGTGTTGTCTTGATTAGAAAGAGTGTCGGTACATATAGGAGATGAGAAGTTTTGGGAACGAAGTGGGGTACCCTCAGCATTTATTGGTGGACCAATCAGATTGGGTCGACCAACAATTGCTGGGGTAACCAACAATCGTTGGAGGGGACCATTATTGGCCCCCCCCCGTCAATTGCGGTCGAGTTGGGTTTGGGGGCGCCCAACCAAAATTGGTTGGGTCGCCTTGACCCAAAGTGTACACCCACTTTAGGGTGTAACACATGCACAAATATAAACATACATTATGCTATATTCTAACATGAGCGGGCGGTGCAGCGTATGAGCGGGCGGTGCAGTGTATGAGCGTGCGTGCGGTGCAGCGTATGAGTGGGCGGTGCAGCGTATGAGCGGGCGGTGCAGCGTATGAGCGGGCGGTGCAGCGTATGAGCGTGCGGTGCAGCGTATGAGCGTGCGGTGCAGCGTATGAGCGGGCGGTGCAGCGTATGAGCGTGCGGTGCAGCGTATGAGCGGGCGGTGCAGCGTATGAGCGGGCGGTGCAGCGTATGAGCGGGCGGTGCAGCGTATGAGCGGGAGGTGCAGCGTATGAGCGGGCGGTGCAGCGTATGAGCGGGCGGTGCAGCGTATGAGCGGGCGGTGCAGCGTATGAGCGGGAGGTGCAGCGTATGAGCTTGCGGTGCAGCGTATGAGCGTGCGGTGCAGCGTATGAGCGGGCGGTGCAGCGTATGAGCGTGCGGTGCAGCGTATGAGCGGGCGGTGCAGCGTATGAGCGGGCGGTGCAGCGTATGAGCGGGCGGTGCAGCGTATGAGCGGGCGGTGCAGCGTATGAGCGGGCGGTCCAGCGTATGAGCGGGCGGTGCAGCGTATGAGCGTGCGGTGCAGCGTATGAGCGTGCGGTGCAGCGTATGAGCGGGCGGTGCAGCGTATGAGCGTGCGGTGCAACGTATGAGCGGGCGGTGCAGCGTATGAGCGTGCGGTGCAGCGTATGAGCGGGCGGTGCAGCGTATGAGTGTGCGGTGCAGTGTATGAGCGGGGGGTGCAGCTTAAGCGGGCGGTGCAGCGTATGAGCGGGCGGTGCAGCGTATGAGCGGGCGGTGCAGCGTATGAGCGTGCGGTGCAGCGTATGAGCGGGTGGTGCAGCGTATGAGCGGGCGGTGCAGCGTATGAGCGTGCGGTGCAGCGTATGAGCGTGCGGTGCAGCGTATGAGCGGGCGGTGCAGCGTATGAGCGGGCGGTGCAGCGTATGAGCGGGCGGTGCAGCGTATGAGCGGGCGGTGCAGCGTATGAGCGGGCGGTGCAGCGTATGAGCGGGCGGTGCAGCGTATGAGCGGGCGGTGCAGCGTATGAGCGGGCGGTGCAGCGTATGAGCGGGCGGTGCAGCGTATGAGCGTGCGGTGCAGCGTATGAGCGTGCGGTGCAGCGTAAGAGCGGGCGGTGCAGCGTATGAGCGTGCGGTGCAGTGTATGAGCGGGCGGTGCAGCGTATGAGCGGGCGGTGCAGCGTATGAGCGGGCGGTGCAGCGTATGAGCGGGAGGTGCAGCGTATGAGCGGGCGGTGCAGCGTATGAGCGGGCGGTGCAGCGTATGAGCGGGCGGTGCAGCGTATGAGCGTGCGGTGCAGCGTATGAGCGGGCGGTGCAGCGTATGAGCGTGCGGTGCAGCGTATGAGCGTGCGGTGCAGCGTATGAGCGTGCGGTGCAGCGTATGAGCGTGCGGTGCAGCGTATGAGCGTGCGGTGCAGCGTATGAGCGGGCGGTGCAGCGTATGAGCGGGTGGTGCAGCGTATGAGCGGGCGGTGCAGCGTATGAGCAGGGCGGTGCAGCGTATGAGCGGGCGGTGCAGCGTATGAGCGTGCGGTGCAGCGTATGAGCGTGCGGTGCAGCGTATGAGCGTGCGGTGCAGCGTATGAGCGTGCGGTGCAGCGTATGAGCGGGCGGTGCAGCGTATGAGCGTGCGGTGCAGCGTATGAGCGGGCGGTGCAGCGTATGAGCGTGCGGTGCAGCGTATGAGCGGGCGGTGCAGCGTATGAGCGAGCGGTGCAGCGTATGAGCGTGCGGTGCAGCGTATGAGCGGGCGGTGCACCGTATGAGCGTGCGGTGCAGCGTATGAGCGTGCGGTGCAGCGTATGAGCGGGCGGTGCAGCGTATGAGCGTGCGGTGCAGCGTATGAGCGGGCGGTGCAGCGTATGAGCGGGCGGTGCAGCGTATGAGCGGTTGGTGCAGCGTATGAGCGGGCGGTGCAGCGTATGAGTGGGCGGTGCAGCGTATGAGCGGGCGGTGCAGTGTATGAGCGTGCGTGCGGTGCAGCGTATGAGCGGGCGGTGCAGCGTATGAGCGGGCGGTGCAGCGTATGAGCGGGCGGTGCAGCGTATGAGCGTGCGGTGCAGCGTATGAGCGGGCGGTGCAGCGTATGAGCGTGCGGTGCAGCGTATGAGCGTGCGGTGCAGCGTATGAGCGGGCGGTGCAGCGTATGAGCGTGCGGTGCAACGTATGAGCGGGCGGTGCAGCGTATGAGCGTGCGGTGCAGCGTATGAGCGGGCGGTGCAGCGTATGAGTGTGCGGTGCAGCGTATGAGCGGGTGGTGGAGCTTAAGCGGGCGGTGCAGCGTATGAGCGGGCGGTGCAGCGTATGAGCGGGCGGTGCAGCGTATGAGCGGGCGGTGCAGCGTATGAGCGTGCGGTGCAGCGTATGAGCGGGCGGTGCAGCGTATGAGCGGGCGGTGCAGCGTATGAGCGGGCGGTGCAGCGTATGAGCAGGGCGGTGCAGCGTATGAGCGGGCGGTGCAGCGTATGAGCGGGCGGTGCAGCGTATGAGCGGGCGGTGCAGCGTATGAGCGGGCCGGTGCAGCGTATGAGCGTGCGGTGCAGCGTATGAGCGTGCGGTGCAGCGTATGAGCGTGCGGTGCAGCGTATGAGCGTGCGGTGCAGCGTATGAGCGGGCGGTGCAGCGTATGAGCGGGCGGTGCAGCGTATGAGCGTGCGGTGCAGCGTATGAGCGTGCGGTGCAGCGTATGAGCGTGCGGTGCAGCGTATGAGCGGGGCGGTGCAGCGTATGAGCGGGTGGTGCAGCGTATGAGCGGGCGGTGCAGCGTATGAGCAGGGCGGTGCAGCGTATGAGCGGGCGGTGCAGCGTATGAGCGGGCGGTGCAGCGTATGAGCGGGCGGTGCAACGTATGAGTGGGCGGTGCAGCGTATGAGCGTGCGTGCGGTGCAGCGTATGAGCGTGCGGTGCAGCGTATGAGCGGGCGGTGCAGCGTATGAGCGGGCGGTGCAGCGTATGAGCGGGCGGTGCAGCGTATGAGCGGGCGGTGCAGCGTATGAGCGGGCGGTGCAGCGTATGAGCGGGCGGTGCAGCGTATGAGCGGGCGGTGCAGCGTATGAGCGGGCGGTGCAGCGTATGAGCGTGCGGTGCAGCGTATGAGCGTGCGGTGCAGCGTATGAGCGTGCGGTGCAGCGTATGAGCGTGCGGTGCAGCGTATGAGCGGGCGGTGCAGCGTATGAGCGGGCGGTGCAGCGTATGAGCGGGCGGTGCAGCGTATGAGCGGGCGGTGCAGCGTATGAGCGGGCGGTGCAGCGTATGAGCGGGCGGTGCAGCGTATGAGCGGGTGGTGCAGCGTATGAGCGGGCGGTGCAGCGTATGAGCGGGGCGGTGCAGCGTATGAGCGGGCGGTGCAGCGTATGAGCGTGCGGTGCAGCGTATGAGCGTGCGGTGCAGCGTATGAGCGTGCGGTGCAGCGTATGAGCGTGCGGTGCAGCGTATGAGCGGGCGGTGCAGCGTATGAGCGGGCGGTGCAGCGTATGAGCGGGCGGTGCAGCGTATGAGCGGGCGGTGCAGCGTATGAGCGGGCGGTGCAGCGTATGAGCGGGCGGTGCAGCGTATGAGCGGGTGGTGCAGCGTATGAGCGGGCGGTGCAGCGTATGAGCGGGCGGTGCAGCGTATGAGCGGGCGGTGCAGCGTATGAGCGGGCGGTGCAGCGTATGAGCGGGCGGTGCAGCGTATGAGCGGGCGGTGCAGCGTATGAGCGTGCGGTGCAGCGTATGAGCGGGCGGTGCAGCGTATGAGCGGGCGGTGCAGCAAGGTGTGGTTCATCTCTTAGTATAAGAGTCACTGTGGATCATGGTCGCATCGCTTCAACTGAATGCACCTGCACTGAACCGTGTCCGCTTGTGCCTCGTTACAGGAATGGACCTTATCTGGGATGCCATCCTGCTGCACCTGCTCGAGGTATGCGCCGCTTCCAATCCAGCTCAGAAATCTAGCTGCACTCTATTGTGCACACCCTCCTCTTAAACAAGACTCTTCGACCAGCATAATTGTCTTCCTTTGTATTCGTATTACAGCTCTTCCCTTTGACCGAGTCTGTCTCCCATCCGTCCCTCCCATGTGTGCATGCCCAGCTGTCCGTCCACGAGAGCGCAGGCGTGCGGGCGGTGGCGGTGGATGCCATCGACCGCGCCGTCATGGCCGCCCTCTCCTCGCCCTCGCTGCACCGCCGCTCCTCCACCTCCTCCTCCTCCGCCCTCACCACTGCCGCAGCCTCTTCACAGGCCACTGAGGAGCAGCAGGGGGCGGAGGTTTGTCGGAAAGTCGGACAGGAGGGGGGCGAGGAGAGGGAGGGGCAGAAGGGGGAGGGCGAGGGGGAGGGGCGGGGAGAGGTGGCGCTGGAGGAGATGGTGGTGGGCGCTGTGAGCTCCCTGTGGCGCGATGGGCGCGATGCAGAGGTGAAGGCAGGCGCCCTGCGCATCCTGCTGCACATGCTGGAGGTGAGTACGGCACAATCCATTAGCACAGTGTGCATGTGCTGCTTGATCCCCCACCTGCGTGGGCTTGGTATGGAGGGCCATTGCCTGGCTGCACCGGTGAAAAGGAGTGCAGCTGCGGTGTTCTCTCTTTCTGTTTCTCTCTTCTTGCTCCTCTCCCCTTCCTCCTTCACTCCCTACCAATCTCTTGCTGTCCATCGCTGATGCCTTTTTGTATCCTCCCTCTCATCTAGTCATCTGCATTGCCCCTCCCATCACTGCCTGTCTGCAGCGCCATGGGGAGAAGCTGCACTCCACATGGCCCACTGTTCTCCACCTCCTAAGGTGAGCTTGCTGCAGTCATTCACTTCTGTTGCTGTGCCACAAATTGCCGTTTTTGGGCCAGGAAGTGCTGTTGCTGGGCAACTGATGAGCAGCAGGCATTATGAGTGCATATTGTTGTTCGACCTTTCATTGACGTGTGCCAAGGCCAACGTTGTTCATGTCATTGTGGCTCCACGGTAACATGACATCTCTTTCCATCGTGATATATTCCACACTGTGCCATGCCATGCTGTTGCCATTCCATGCCATTGCAATCCCACGCCATTCCACGCCATGCCATGCCATTGCGACCATGCACAAGCAGGATGGTAGCAGAGACGAATGACAAGGACCTCGTGGGCCTTGCCTTCCAGGTGGGCCCTGCTGCACATGTGTTCCTCCTCCTTCTTCCTTGCTTTATTGTGCCCGCTGTCCACACATGTCACCACTTTGCCTGCCCACAAGCCGAGTTATGCTGGTTGTCTAGCAGGCACTTGAAGGTTGCATCATCGTGTGTCTCTGACTGCTCGTGTGGCATGCAGAGTGAGCTGGTGGTGGTCAACGACTGCCTCTCCTCCATTCCGCCTCACACCCTTCAACTGTCAGTCGTCATGCCACATCATGCATGCCATTCCATGCCATTCCAACACGGCATCGTGCAATGCCATTTTATCACAGCATCCATGTCATTCTGTTTTGAAACGGGTTCTGTCATGCCGTTCCAGCACATCGCCATGCCATGTCATGCTGCCCATAGTGCCTACTCTCATCCACATCTCATGCTCTTCCTCTCATGCCTGTTTCAGTTTCCCTGCCACATCCTGCATGTCTCTCTTGTGCGCCCTCAACCGCAACCAATGCATCACACCACTGATCCATGTTGCAACAGACCCCCTTTGCCGAACGTGCTCCACTGCAGTGCTGCCCATGATTGGATTGCACATGTTCTGCTCACCAATGGCTGTCTACATCTTGCAACTTTTTATGATGCCTGTCGTTTCAATCGCCCCCGTCTCTGCGCACCAGGTGTGTGGAGGTGGTGGGGGCGTTTGCGGGGCAAGTGGCGGATGTGAACATCTCTCTCACGTCCGTGGGGCTGCTCTGGACCATGGCTGACTTCTTTGCTCGAGGCCTCGACCATGCCACCACCACACACCGCACTGCCACCTGTGAGACCACTGCACTACGACTTACCTGGACTTTCTAATTCATTTTTCCGAAGCCGTTGACCTCACTGTTACATGCCGGACCTGACTCTGTTCTGGGCCTCATAATCTACCGTCTTCTCAGGTTGCAAGCGTCCATGCCTAAGAGTTAGCCCTCCCTGAACGAGTTTCTTCTGAGCTTTGAGGCTTGCACCATCTGTACCTGAAAGGAGACACTACTTTGTGACAAAGCGGAGGCTTCTCCCTCACTCATACACACAGTGCTCCCAGCTTCCCTCACGCTTTCTTTTACTCTTCCCAACCCCCCGACTTCCCCAGTTTCCACCCTACTCAACCAGTGCGACCCTTCCTCCTCCTCCTCGACATCTTCCGCAGCAACCCCTCTCTCCTCCGCCTCCTCTGCCACGCCCCTTCCATCGACGGCACCAGCAGCAGCAGCATCGGCACTGAAGCTGCCAGCGTCAGCCACACCCTCCACCTTCACTAGGATCCACAGAAAGCCAGCTCACACAGATGCAGGGGGGACCAAACGGGGAGAGGGGGGTGAAGGGACCGAGGTGGGCGGAGGGCAGGGGAGGGGATCCGGCAGCGGGAGGATGCTGGACGAGCGGAGCAGCGCACTGCTGCTGGCGGTGCTGTGTGTGATGGAGGCGCGTGCCAAGGACGGGCGGCCGGAGGTGCGCAACGCGGCCATGCGCACGCTGTTCCAGACGGTGGTCAGCCACGGCGCCAAGCTGCCGCCCGCCTCGTGGCGCCACTGCCTCTGGGACCTCATCTTCCCCCTCATCGACTCCGTGCGCTCCCTTGTGAGTCCCTGCGCTCCCATTGCCTTCCAATGCCAGTCCATGGTAGTGAATGGTGGTCGGTGAATGAAGTCAGTATCAGTCACAGCGCAAGACAGCTGCAGCCACATGCCTGTCAGTCACGCACCCGGCATTCGCATGTTTTGCTCTCCTCTCTTGTGTCCTGCAGGCGGCCACGGCATCGAGAGACGAGGCGCCGGGGACGGAAATAGGGCGGCAGGGGGGGAGGAGTGTGATGATGCTGGTGCACCACAGTCGCAACACGGCGCAGAAGCAGTGGGATGAGACGCTCGTCATGGCGCTCAACGGCCTTGCCCGCCTCATTCGTGCCTTCTTCCCACTGCTGCATACCATGGACAACTTCCGGGAAGGTGTGCACTGCATCAGTATTTGGCACTGCATGCGAAGCTGTTCCTTGTGCTCCCGCCCCTCCTTTGTGAGACCAGCAAGCAAGGCCGCCTCTTTCATCTCAATGTTCTCTTTCACTCTTCTCCACCAGCTTTCCCTTTGCTCCTCCCAAACCGCCTCCCCATGCCCACTCCCCCACCCCCCCGATGCCATGGTGGAGGCAGTGTGGGGTGCACTGCTGCAGTTCGTGGAGGAGGGCGTGCTGACCGGCAGCCGAGAAGTCAGTTCTGCTGCTGCCAGCACCCTGCAGACCATCATGCTCACACATGCCACCAAGGTGACCATCATGCTCACCCATGCCACCAAGGTGACCATCATGCTCACCCATGCCACCAAGGTGACCATCATGCTCACCCATGCCACCAAGGTGACCATCATGCTCACACATGCCACCAAGGTGACCATCATGCTCACACATGCCACCAAGGTGACCATCACGCTCACACATGCCACCAAGGTGACCATCATGCTCACACATGCCACCAAGGTGACCATCATGCTCACCCATGCCACCAAGGTGACCATCATGCTCACACATGCCACCAAGGTGACCATCATGCTCACACATGCCACCAAGGTGACCATCATGCTCACACATGCCACCAAGGTGACCATCATGCTCACACTATGCTATTTGCGCTATGGCTATGCATCCCACTACTCCATGCTGACCTCACGCCGTTCTGCCTTGCCCCATCTGATGCACCATGGCGATGCATGTGTGACCGCATCCCCACCCACCCCCCACGTGCCATGGAGGCAGGGCAGCATCCCGCGGCACTACTGGGACAGCAGCATGGACGCGTACGAGCTGCTGCTGCGCGACAGCACGGCGCCGGCGTCCGTGGTGGCGGTGCGCACGCGGCAGAAGCTGGTGGAGGACCTGGGCGAGGTGTACAGCACGGCGGGCCTCGCCTTTGAGGACCACGACTACCTGCGCCTGCTCGCCTGTGTGGACGTCATGGCCCGCTGCCCCGTGCTGCCCTCCGAACCCCCTCCCCTCGCTGTACGCCCTGCATGCGCCCTTTGCCCGTGATGCGGTGTTGTCACCCGCCTGTGTGCTTTCAATTAATGCACCTGCGTCCACCACTGACCTCATCTTGGTGTCAGCTTTGTTCGTTTTCAAACAGCCTTATCGCTCCAATCTGCCCTTCTCCTTGTCATTTGCCGCTGCTCACTGCACCCTCCGTTTTGCCTCCTCACTTCCCACACACCCCCCTTCACGTGGCCATGTGAGCTGCCAGGGCACGCTGCCCCAGGTGCAGCGCACGGTGCTGGAGGTGCTGCCGCGCGTGCAGCCCTCTGCGCACGCGCATCTGTGGCCCGCGCTGCTGCAGCAGCTGCTCGCCTACCTGCCGGGCGGGGACCGCCTGCTCTGCCCGCACTGCCGCGTGCCGCCGCGCTTCCTGTCCGAGGCCACGCAACGCCACGCCCCAAAGGTTTCCCTGGGTGGCGTTGCAGGGGGTGTGGATGGCACGGGAGGGGACAGCGGTGTTGGTGAAGGGAGAGGAGGGGGAGGAGGAAACGATGGTGGGGATGCGGGCGAAGCAGGCAGCGAGGAAATCGATAGTCAAGGAGGGGACGCAGGAGGTGCCACACAAGCTGCCGGCAACGGCAGTAGCAGCCGGACGACATCATTCGGCCTATCTCTGGGCGGCAAGGTGCAGCTGTTTGCGCCAGCAGCGGTGTACGTGCCGACATCAGGCAACCCCACGGGGTCGTTCATGCTGAGCTACCCCGTCACGGCGCCCGGCGCCCTCTCACCCGCACTGCAGGACCGCGTGGTGGCGCTGCTGCTGGAGCTCTTCCTCAACGCGCCCCCAGAGGCCCGAGACACCGTCCTGCCCGACCTCGTTGCTGCTCTCGGCAGGTGATGTGGCCATGCGTGCCGTGCAGCAAGGGGTGGACGCAAGTGGGCGCTGGAATTGAGACTGTCACACAGTTTCAGCCTTTTTTGCTGACAATCGTTGGAACAGATGCGCCCTCGTTATCTCTGCTTATCCATTCGTTTCATTCTCATTCACTCGTCGTGCTTACCACGTGCTTCTCCCCACCATGTTCTCCCCACCATGTTCTCCCCACCATGTTCTCCCCACCATGTTCTCCCCACCATGTTCTCCCCACCATGTTCTCCCCACCATGTTCTCCCCACCATGTTCTCCCCACCATGTTCTCCCCACCATGTTCTCCCCACCATGTTCTCCCCACCATGTTCTTCCCACCATGTTCTCCCCGCTGCACCCTTGCACGCCACAGGTGTATGCTCATCCGCCGCACCTCGCCTGACCTTCAGCTGTGGCGCACGGCCGTGGCCACGCTCTCAGACATCCTCAAACACGCCCTCCCGCCTGACCCCCCTCTCACAACACACGCCAATCACACCTCTCCTTCAGACCCTCTGGCTCCTCCTGCACGCCCATCCTCACCCACGCATGCCTCTTCCACACACCACCACACCAAGCACCAGCATGAGCCACATAAGGAAGTTGCCAAGGAGGGCAACGGTGCAGTGGGCGGCAGCAGTGAGGGGGGGGGAGCACGGCAGCGCATGTGGCAGGAGCTGGCGGCGGTGGTGGAGCAGTTCGTGCTCGGCACATGCGGCACCGCCCTGCTCGCAGACCTCCCCTCCCCGGCGCCCCAGCCCTCGCCAGCACCACCCCCAGGCCATTCCCCCCGACGCTCCCCCAGAGTGGGGGGAGGGGAGGGCGCAGGGGGCAGTCCGCGGAGAAGAGCTGCTCCTGGCAGCGGCGGTGGCAGCGGGGCAGGGCGGGCACCAGGGGCCGGGGGAGCAGCCGTGCCTGCTGGGAGGGGGGCGGGGGAGGCAGAGAGTAGTGACTGGGGCACAGGCAGCGAGGGGAGGGGCGGAGGAGGCGCGGGCAGCAGTGGGTGGGCGGGGGAGGCGGGGTCGACACGGGGAGTGTCGGAGCTGCTTACTCGCGAGGTGGTGGAGGCGGATGAGATGCTGGAGGCGCTCTTCCTTGACACCCTCTGCACCCGCGTGCTCACCCACTGCTATGACGCCCCCCACAAGGTGCCCACTGCCATGACGCCCCCCATAAGGTGCCCACTGCCATGACGCCCCCCATAAGGTGCCCACTGCACTGCCCTGTTTGATTAGGTGTGTATTTATCAAGCAAAGTCATTCCATCTGTCAATGCACCATTTCCCTGTCATCCTTCTCTCTCCACCGTTCGTCTCTTCGCATCTTCTCCACGTGCAGCAACACCCCTGCACCTCTGCTGCTCTATCTCCCACGTGACCCCTCTGATCTGAACCGTGCAGGAGAGGGAGCGGCTGGTGGCAGTGCTGGATGCGTGTGCTGCACGCACCAGCGCGCTGCCCCTGGCTGCTGCGGCAGCGCTGCCAACCCACTGCGCGCGCTTCTCCCTCGCCTGCCTCTCCCGCCTCTTCATGCTCGCCGGGTGGGTGCCTCTCCGCCTTGTTGCTCGCCGCCACCCTTTTTTGCCTGCCAACGTGCTCGACTCATGGCATCTCTCTCAATGCACTAACCACATACCGATGCTCTCACTGCACTCAACTCATTCATCTCTCTGGATGCATTCATCGCATGGCCGCCCTGACAATGCGCACGTGCATCACATGCTGAACCTGACCTCCAGAACTTACCTCCAGAACTTACCTCCAGAACTTACCTCCAGAACTTACCTCCAGAACTTACCTCCAGAACTTACCTCCAGAACCTGACCTCCAGAACTGACCTCCAGACCCTGACCTCCAGAACCTGACCTCCAGAACTTACCTCCAGAACTTACCTCCAGAACTTACCTCCAGAACTTACCTCCAGAACTTACCTCCAGAACCTTACCTCCAGAACCGGACCTCCAGAACTTACCTCCAGAACTTACCTCCAGAACTTACCTCCAGAACTTACCTCCAGAACTTACCTCCAGAACTTACCTCCAGAACTTACCTCCAGAACCTGACCTCCAGAACTGACCTCCAGACCCTGACCTCCAGAACCTGACCTCCAGAACTTACCTCCAGAACTTACCTCCAGAACTTACCTCCAGAACTTACCTCCAGAACTTACCTCCAGAACCTTACCTCCAGAACCGGACCTCCAGAACTTACCTCCAGAACTTACCTCCAGAACTTACCTCCAGAACTTACCTCCAGAACTTACCTCCAGAACTTACCTCCAGAACTTACCTCCAGAACCTGACCTCCAGAACTGACCTCCAGACCCTGACCTCCAGAACCTGACCTCCAGAACTTACCTCCAGAACTTACCTCCAGAACTTACCTCCAGAACTTACCTCCAGAACTTACCTCCAGAACCTTACCTCCAGAACCTGACCTCCAGAACCGGACCTCCAGAACTTACCTCCAGAACTTACCTCCAGAACCTGACCTCCAGAACCTGACCTCCAGAACCTGACCTCCAGAACTTACCTCCAGAACTTACCTCCAGAACTTACCTCCAGAACCCGACCTCCAGAACTTACCTCCAGAACTTACCTCCAGAACCTGACCTCCAGAACCCGACCTCCAGAACTTACCTCCAGAACTTACCTCCAGAGCTTACCTCCAGAACTTACCTCCAGAACTTACCTCCAGAACCTAACCTCCAGAACCGGACCTCCAGAACTTACCTCCAGAACTTACCTCCAGAACTTACGTCCAGAACTTACCTCCAGAACTTACCTCCAGAACCTAACCTCCAGAACCGGACCTCCAGAACTTACCTCCAGAACTTACCTCCAGAACTTACCTCCAGAACTTACCTCCAGAACTGACCTCCAGACCCTGACCTCCAGAACCTGACCTCCAGAACCTGACCTCCAGAACCTGACCTCCAGAACTTACCTCCAGAACTTACCTCCAGAACTTACCTCCAGAACCTGACCTCCAGAACCTGACCTCCAGAACCTGACCTCCAGAACCTGACCTCCAGAACCTGACCTCCAGAACCTGACCTCCAGAACTTACCTCCAGAACCTGACCTCCAGAACCTGACCTCCAGAACTTACCTCCAGAACCTGACCTCCAGAACCTGACCTCCAGAACTTACCTCCAGAACTTACCTCCAGAACTTACCTCCAGAACCTGACCTCCTGAACCTGACCTCCAGAACTTACCTCCAGAACTTACCTCCAGAACTTACCTCCAGAACTTACCTCCAGAACCTGACCTCCAGAACCTGACCTCCAGAACCTGACCTCCAGAACCTGACCTCCCGAACCTGACCTCCAGAACCTGACCTCCAGAACCGGACCTCCAGAACCTGACCTCCAGAACCTGACCTCCAGAACTGACCTCCAGAACCTGACCTCCAGAACTTACCTCCAGAACTTACCTCCAGAACCTGACCACCAGAACCTGACCTCCAGAACCTGACCTCCAGAACCGGACCTCCAGAACTTACCTCCAGAACTTACCTCCAGAACTTACCTCCAGAACCTGACCTCCAGAACCTGACCTCCAGAACCTGACCTCCAGAACTTACCTCCAGAACTTACCTCCAGAACCTGACCACCAGAACCTGACCTCCAGAACCTGACCTCCAGAACCTGACCTCCAGAACTGACCTCCAGAACCTGACCTCCAGAACTTACCTCCTGACCTCCAGAACGTACCTCCTGACCTCCAGAACTTACTTCCAGAACTTACCTCCAGAACCTGACCTCCAGAACTTACCTCCAGAACCTGACCTCCAGAACCTGACCTCCAGAACCTGACCTCCAGAACCTGACCTCCAGAACCTGACCTCCAGAACTTACCTCCAGAACCTGACCTCCAGAACCTGACCTCCAGAACCTGACCTCCAGAACCTGACCTCCAGAACCTGACCTCCAGAACTTACCTCCAGAACCTGACCTCCAGAACCTGACCTCCAGAACTGACCTCCAGAACCTGACCTCCAGAACCTGACCGCCAGACCCTGACCTCCAGAACTTACCTCCAGAACTTATCTCCAGAACTTACCTCCAGAACCTGACCTCCAGAACCTGACCTCCAGAACCTGACCTCCAGAACCGGACCTCCAGAACTTACCTCCAGAACCTGACCTCCAGAACCTGACCTCCAGAACCTGACCTCCAGAACCTGACCTCCAGAACCTGACCTCCAGAACCTGACCTCCAGAACCGGACCTCCAGAACCTGACCTCCAGAACTTACCTCCAGAACCTGACCTCCAGAACCTGACCTCCAGAACCTGACCTCCAGAACCTGACCTCCAGAACCTGACCTCCAGAACCTGACCTCCAGAACCTGACCTCCTGAACCTGACCTCCAGAACCTGACCTCCAGAACTTACCTCCAGAACTTACCTCCAGAACCTGACCTCCAGAACCTGACCTCCAGAACCTGACCTCCAGAACTTACCTCCAGAACCTGACCTCCAGAACCTGACCTCCAGAACCTGACCTCCAGAACCTGACCTCCAGAACCTGACCTCCTGAACCTAACCTCCAGAACCTGACCTCCAGAACTTTCCTCCAGAACTTACCTCCAGAACCTGACCTCCAGAACCTGACCTCCAGAACCCGACCTCCAGAACCGGACCTCCAGAACCTGACCTCCAGAACCTGACCTCCAGAACCTGACCTCCAGAACCGGACCTCCAGAACCTGACCTCCAGAACTTACCTCCAGAACTTACCTCCAGAACCTGACCTCCTGAACCTGACCTCCAGAACCGGACCTCCAGAACTTACCTCCAGAACTTACCTCCAGAACCTGACCTCCAGAACCTGACCTCCAGAACCTGACCTCCAGAACCTGACCTCCAGAACCTGACCTCCAGACCCTGACCTCCAGAACCTGACCTCCAGAACCTGACCTCCAGAACCTGACCTCCAGAACCTGACCTCCAGAACCTAACCTCCAGAACCTGACCTCCAGAACCTGACCTCCAGAACTTACCTCCAGAACTTACCTCCAGAATCTGACCTCCAGAACCTGACCTCCAGAACCTGACCTCCAGAACTTACCTCCAGAACCGGACCTCCAGAACCTGACCTCCAGAACTTACCTCCAGAACCGGACCTCCAGAACCTGACCTCCAGAACTTACCTCCAGAACTTACCTCCAGAACCTGACCTCCAGAACCTGACCTCCAGAACCTGACCTCCAGAACCTGACCTCCAGAACCTGACCTCCAGAACCTGACCTCCAGAACCTGACCTCCAGAACCTGACCTCCAGAACCTGACCTCCAGAACTTACCTCCAGAACTTACCTCCAGAACCTGACCTCCAGAACCTGACCTCCAGAACCTGACCTCCAGAACCTGACCTCCAGAACCTGACCTCCAGAACTTACCTCCAGAACTTACCTCCAGAACCTGACCTCCTGAACCTGACCTCCAGAACCGGACCTCCAGAACTTACCTCCAGAACTTACCTCCAGAACTTACCTCCAGAACCTGACCTCCAGAACCTGACCTCCAGAACCTGACCTCCAGAACCGGACCTCCAGAACCTGACCTCCAGAACTTACCTCCAGAACTTACCTCCAGAACCTGACCTCCTGAACCTGACCTCCAGAACCGGACCTCCAGAACTTACCTCCAGAACTTACCTTGAATTTACCTCCAGAACCTGACCTCCAGAACCTGACCTCCAGAACCTGACCTCCAGAACCTGACCTCCAGAACCTGACCTCCAGACCCTGACCTCCAGAACCTGACCTCCAGAACCTGACCTCCAGAACCTGACCTCCAGAACCTGACCTCCAGAACCTAACCTCCAGAACCTGACCTCCAGAACCTGACCTCCAGAACTTACCTCCAGAACTTACCTCCAGAATCTGACCTCCAGAACCTGACCTCCAGAACCTGACCTCCAGAACCGGACCTCCAGAACCTGACCTCCAGAACTTACCTCCAGAACCTGACCTCCAGAACCTGACCTCCAGAACCTGACCTCCAGAACCTGACCTCCAGAACCTGACCTCCAGAACCTGACCTCCAGAACCTGACCTCCTGAACCTGACCTCCAGAACCTGACCTCCAGAACTTACCTCCAGAACTTACCTCCAGAACCTGACCTCCAGAACCTGACCTCCAGAACCTGACCTCCAGAACTTACCTCCAGAACCTGACCTCCAGAACCTGACCTCCAGAACCTGACCTCCAGAACCTGACCTCCAGAACCTGACCTCCTGAACCTAACCTCCAGAACCTGACCTCCAGAACTTTCCTCCAGAACTTACCTCCAGAACCTGACCTCCAGAACCTGACCTCCAGAACCCGACCTCCAGAACCGGACCTCCAGAACCTGACCTCCAGAACCTGACCTCCAGAACCTGACCTCCAGAACCGGACCTCCAGAACCTGACCTCCAGAACTTACCTCCAGAACTTACCTCCAGAACCTGACCTCCTGAACCTGACCTCCAGAACCGGACCTCCAGAACTTACCTCCAGAACTTACCTCCAGAACCTGACCTCCAGAACCTGACCTCCAGAACCTGACCTCCAGAACCTGACCTCCAGAACCTGACCTCCAGACCCTGACCTCCAGAACCTGACCTCCAGAACCTGACCTCCAGAACCTGACCTCCAGAACCTGACCTCCAGAACCTAACCTCCAGAACCTGACCTCCAGAACCTGACCTCCAGAACTTACCTCCAGAACTTACCTCCAGAATCTGACCTCCAGAACCTGACCTCCAGAACCTGACCTCCAGAACTTACCTCCAGAACCGGACCTCCAGAACCTGACCTCCAGAACTTACCTCCAGAACCGGACCTCCAGAACCTGACCTCCAGAACTTACCTCCAGAACTTACCTCCAGAACCTGACCTCCAGAACCTGACCTCCAGAACCTGACCTCCAGAACCTGACCTCCAGAACCTGACCTCCAGAACCTGACCTCCAGAACCTGACCTCCAGAACCTGACCTCCAGAACCTGACCTCCAGAACTTACCTCCAGAACTTACCTCCAGAACCTGACCTCCAGAACCTGACCTCCAGAACCTGACCTCCAGAACCTGACCTCCAGAACCTGACCTCCAGAACTTACCTCCAGAACTTACCTCCAGAACCTGACCTCCTGAACCTGACCTCCAGAACCGGACCTCCAGAACTTACCTCCAGAACTTACCTCCAGAACTTACCTCCAGAACCTGACCTCCAGAACCTGACCTCCAGAACCTGACCTCCAGAACCGGACCTCCAGAACCTGACCTCCAGAACTTACCTCCAGAACTTACCTCCAGAACCTGACCTCCTGAACCTGACCTCCAGAACCGGACCTCCAGAACTTACCTCCAGAACTTACCTTGAATTTACCTCCAGAACCTGACCTCCAGAACCTGACCTCCAGAACCTGACCTCCAGAACCTGACCTCCAGAACCTGACCTCCAGACCCTGACCTCCAGAACCTGACCTCCAGAACCTGACCTCCAGAACCTGACCTCCAGAACCTGACCTCCAGAACCTAACCTCCAGAACCTGACCTCCAGAACCTGACCTCCAGAACTTACCTCCAGAACTTACCTCCAGAATCTGACCTCCAGAACCTGACCTCCAGAACCTGACCTCCAGAACTTACCTCCAGAACCGGACCTCCAGAACCTGACCTCCAGAACTTACCTCCAGAACCGGACCTCCAGAACCTGACCTCCAGAACTTACCTCCAGAACTTACCTCCAGAACCTGACCTCCAGAACCTGACCTCCAGAACCTGACCTCCAGAACCTGACCTCCAGAACCTGACCTCCAGAACCTGACCTCCAGAACCTGACCTCCAGAACCTGACCTCCAGAACCTGACCTCCAGAACTTACCTCCAGAACTTACCTCCAGAACCTGACCTCCAGAACCTGACCTCCAGAACCTGACCTCCAGAACCTGACCTCCAGAACCTGACCTCCAGGACTTACCTCCAGAACTTACCTCCAGAACCTGACCTCCAGAACCTGACCTCCAGAACCTGACCTCCAGAACCTGACCTCCAGAACCTGACCTCCAGCACCTGACCTCCAGAACCTGACCTCCAGAACCTGACCTCCAGAACTTACCTCCAGAACCTGACCTCCAGAACCTGACCTCCAGAACCTGACCTCCAGAACCTGACCTCCAGAACCTGACCTCCAGAACCTGACCTCCAGAACCTGACCTCCAGAACCTGACCTCCAGCACCTGACCTCCAGAACCTGACCTCCAGAACCTGACCTCCAGAACTTACCTCCAGAACTTACCTCCAGAACTTACCTCCAGAACTTACCTCCAGAACCTGACCTCCAGAACGTGACCTCCAGAACCTGACCTCCAGAACCTGACCTCCAGAACCGGACCTCCAGAACCGGACCTCCAGAACTTACCTCCAGAACTTACCTCCAGAACTTACCTCCAGAACCTGACCTCCTGAACCTGACCTCCAGAACTTACCTCCAGAACTTACCTCCAGAACTTACCTCCAGAACCTGACCTCCAGAACTTACCTCCAGAACTTACCTCCAGAACCTGACCTCCAGAACCTGACCTCCAGAACCGGACCTCCAGAACTTACCTCCAGAACTTACCTCCAGAACTTACCTCCAGAACCTGACCTCCTGAACCTGACCTCCAGAACCTGACCTCCAGAACTTACCTCCAGAACTTACCTCCAGAACTTACCTCCAGAACCAGACCTCCAGAACTTACCTCCAGAACTTACCTCCAGAACTTACCTCCAGAACTTACCTCCAGAACCTGACCTCCAGAACTTACCTCCAGAACTTACCTCCAGAACTTACCTCCAGAACCTGACCTCCAGAACCGGACCTCCAGAACTTACCTCCAGAACTTACCTCCAGAACCTGACCTCCAGAACTTACCTCCAGAACTTACCTCCAGAACTTACCTCCAGAACTTACCTCCAGAACCTGACCTCCAGAACCTACCTCCAGAACTTACCTCCAGAACCTGACCTCCAGAACTTACCTCCAGAACCTGACCTTCAGAACTTACCTCCAGAACTTACCTCCAGAACCTGACCTCCAGAACTTACCTCCAGAACTGACCTCCAGAACTTACCTCCAGAACTTACCTCCAGAACCTGACCTCCAGAACTTACCTCCAGAACTTACCTCCAGAACCTGACCTCCAGAACCTGACCTCCAGAACTTACCTCCAGAACTTACCTCCAGAACTTACCTCCAGAACTTACCTCCAGAACCGGACCTCCAGAACCTGACCTCCAGAACTTACCTCCAGAACTTACCTCCAGAACCTGACCTCCAGAACCTGACCTCCAGAACCTGACCTCCAGAACTTACCTCCAGAACTTACCTCCAGAACTTACCTCCAGAACCTGACCTCCAGAACTTACCTCCAGAACTTACCTCCAGAACCTGACCTCCAGAACTTACCTCCAGAACTTACCTCCAGAACCTGACCTCCAGAACTTACCTCCAGAACTTACCTCCAGAACCTGACCTCCAGAACCTGACCTCCAGAACTTACCTCCAGAACTTACCTCCAGAACTTACCTCCAGAACCTGACCTCCAGAACCTGACCTCCAGAACCTGACCTCCAGAACCGGACCTCCAGAACCGGACCTCCAGAACTTACCTCCAGAACCTGACCTCCAGAACTTACCTCCAGAACCGGACCTCCAGAACTTACCTCCAGAACTTACCTCCAGAACTTACCTCCAGAACCTGACCTCCAGAACCGGACCTCCAGAACCGGACCTCCAGAACCTGACCTCCAGAACTTACCTCCAGAACCTGACCTCCAGAACTTACCTCCAGAACTTACCTCCAGAACCGGACCTCCAGAACTTACCTCCAGAACTTACCTCCAGAACTTACCTCCAGAACCTGACCTCCAGAACCGGACCTCCAGAACCGGACCTCCAGAACCTGACCTCCAGAACTTACCTCCAGAACCTGACCTCCAGAACTTACCTCCAGAACCTGACCTCCAGGACCTGACCTCCAGAACCTGACCTCCAGAACCTGACCTCCAGAACCTGGCCTCCAGAACCTGACCTCCAGAACCTGACCTCCAGAACTTACCTCCAGAACTTACCTCCAGAACTTACCTCCAGAACTTACCTCCAGAACCTGACCTCCAGAACCTGACCTCCAGAACCTGACCTCCAGAACCTGACCTCCAGAACCTGACCTCCAGAACTTACCTCCAGAACTTACCTCCAGAACTTACCTCCAGAACTTACCTCCAGAACCTGACCTCCAGAACCTGACCTCCAGAACCTGACCTCCAGAACCTGACCTCCAGAACCTGACCTCCAGAACCGGACCTCCAGAACCGGACCTCCAGAACTTACCTCCAGAACTTACCTCCAGAACTTACCTCCAGAACCTGACCTCCAGAACTTACCTCCAGAACTTACCTCCAGAACCTGACCTCCTGAACCTGACCTCCAGAACCGGACCTCCAGAACCGGACCTCCAGAACTTACCTCCAGAACTTACCTCCAGAACTTACCTCCAGAACTTGACCTCCTGAACCTGACCTCCAGAACCGGACCTCCAGAACCGGACCTCCAGAACTTACCTCCAGAACTTACCTCCAGAACCTGACCTCCAGAACTTACCTCCAGAACTTACCTCCAGAACCGGACCTCCAGAACTTACCTCCAGAACTTACCTCCAGAACTTACCTCCAGAACTTGACCTCCTGAACCTGACCTCCAGAACCGGACCTCCAGAACCGGACCTCCAGAACTTACCTCCAGAACTTACCTCCAGAACCTGACCTCCTGAACCTGACCTCCAGAACTTACCTCCAGAACTTACCTCCAGAACTTACCTCCAGAACCTGACCTCCAGAACTTACCTCCAGAACTTACCTCCAGAACCTGACCTCCTGAACCTGACCTCCAGAACCGGACCTCCAGAACCGGACCTCCAGAACTTACCTCCAGAACTTACCTCCAGAACTTACCTCCAGAACCTGACCTCCAGAACCGAACCTCCAGAACTTACCTCCAGAACTTACCTCCAGAACCTGACCTCCAGAACTTACCTCCAGAACTTACCTCCAGAACTTACCTCCAGAACTTACCTCCAGAACCTGACCTCCAGAACCTACCTCCAGAACTTACCTCCAGAACCTGACCTCCAGAACTTACCTCCAGAACCTGACCTTCAGAACTTACCTCCAGAACTTACCTCCAGAACCTGACCTCCAGAACCGGACCTCCAGAACTTACCTCCAGAACCTGACCTCCAGAATCTGACCTCCAGAACCTGACCTCCAGAACTTACCTCCAGAACTGATGTTGTGGCACGTGCCCTCCCCCCACCCCACGCTCCCCACACGGCTCCTTCATGCATGTGGGCCAGGCAAGGCCGCACAGAGGACACACTGGCATCATCATCGGTGGCGGTGGGGCGGCTGGTGCTGCCTCGCCTCGTGGCGCGCTGCCATGCCATTCTGCACCGCTTCACTAAAGACTCCCTGCAAGCAGGTGGGTGCCGCACACACACCTTCTTCACCAGTTGATCGCTACACAGGAGTAGCACATGGGGGTGCAAGCATATTTCCGGATTTGCCTCATCTGCTTCTCTGCTCGGATGCGCCTCTGCATTCCCTCACTGCCTCCCATTGCCACCTCTCCCTCTGCCCTGCCTTCTCGACCATATTATCCCTGCCTGCCCCTTGTGCCCCATCCCTGGGTGTGGGCGGGCAGGGTCAGCAGCCATGCCGGCAGTGCGTCTGGCGGAGATGCTGCTGCTGCTGCAGGAGTTGGTGCGCCTCGTGCTGCACCCCCTCGTCGCTGCCGCACTGGACGTGCCCATCGCGCCCAAGGCCAGTGCAGAGGCGCACGTCACGGCGCAGGCAGCAGCAGCCGGGGACACGCTCACCAGGGGTGAGCTGGAGCGGCCATGGGAGCGGGACAGCGCAGCGCGGCGGTTTGTGGACAGCGAGGGGCGGCAGCTGGGGTGGCAGCGAGCGCACCTGCTGCTGCTCTACTCGCCCCTCTGCGACCTCGTCTTCCTCCGGTACACTTTCCACACTTCTCCCGTCCCCCGTCCCCCTCCCCCCCCTTAAAACACGAAAACCTCACAGAACCCTCTGTGTTTGTGTATAAGTAGCAGCTGTAGCAGTATCTCCTGTGCTTTTGCTCCATGCTGCTTTTCTGCCTCACCTGTGCTCCAACCACCTCACTCCCCTCCCCATCTTACCCAAACCCTTTCCTCATGCTCCCAGACAATTTCCCGATGGTTCCTACGCATTTCCATGCTCCCATACCCATTCCATGCTCCCATGTTCCCTTTTGACTATTGTACCCCCCTGTCACGTTTCCCATGCCCCCCTGTATGGCCGTTGCAGAGATGCGGATCTGTCCAACCTGTGTGCCATCATATTCCGACTCATAGGCAATGAACTGGGGCTGCTCAGACAGGCAACCCCACACCACTAGTGCCGTGCGCTCTTGCTACTGGCATCATCAGGCGTGAGTCAAACGCAACAGGCAGCAGCATTTAATACATAGCATTCACATGTGTTGGAACTTGTGTATGCAGCTCCTTGCATGTGCACGCTCCATCAGGAGCTTCAGAATGAATCAACGCAATGTAATGGCATCCGTTGCAATTCACTGCAGGTGTGACGGAATGAGGAGAAATGCAAGCTCTGGGTCTCTGGGGATGTTGAAACAAGATGTGAGGTAGCTAACCCTTTACATGTCCCTTGCAGCAGCCCTTGCTGAATGGCATGGCAACACACACTATAAGTGATACGGTACTATAAATGCATCACTTCACTTTGCCCAGCGCAGCGTCGTCACTACGAGAGGTGCTAACTAACAAGTCATGCTGTGCCTGGCAGTCCCAGAGCAGCCTAGTACGAGCAAATACTAGTGGGTGGGTACCTTGACATGCCTTGGCGCACGTCAAGCCTACCCGCTGCTCAAGTACCCACTTAAGGACAGCTCTCTTCGAAACCTGCTCACACACACACACACGAGGAGAGTCAAGACTCAGTGATGACCATCCTTGCACCAAGCATACCCGACGGTATCAATGGAGGCAGAGAGATGACAGTAGCAAAGGCGATGGCGACAAGGCAAAGCGAATGGCAAGCACCAGACCCCTGCTCTCACCTGCGCCTGGCATCCGCTGTCCCTTCGACCCTCTGATCTTCACTGGGAACAGCAACAGCAGCTGCAGCAGCCGTAACGTCGTCAACAACGCCCTCCTCTTTGCCCACACCAGTTCCCCTCTGCCTCCCCTGCCTCCCGTCCCCTTTCCTGCTGCCCTTGCTGCTGCCTGCTGCCCTGCTCAGCGTGGGGCTAAGAGGGGGAGGGCAGCCATTAGGGCCAAGCTGGGGCAGGGGCAGAGGGATGGCAAGGGTGGGGGTGGAAGCATACGTGTGGCGCCTCTTTATGGCCTGAGGCACGTCAGATTGAGGCGACAGGGTGGTTGCAGTAGGGTGCATGTGGTGGCTGTGGTGCTGCTCGCTCACACTCCGCTCCACTGCCCCATTCCCACCATGACGCCCCCCAGCCTGCTGCCCACCACCACCGCTGCCATAATCCGTTGCCCCAACCATCGCACCACTTCTTGCCCCACTGCCACTCTGCCCAACCCCAGCTCTGCCTCCCGTGGTAGGGCCAACGGCAGCATGGCAGCTGCTGAAGTGCCTGGCAGAGCGCGAGGATGATTGCCCCGGGGCGAGCGCTCTGCTCCCTGGGCCTCCCTGTGCTCGCAAGGCCGAGGCATCAGGTGCTCGGCTGCCCAGTGGGCTGCTGGGGGCACTCAGCGCTGCGCTCATGCTGTCTATGCTGCCACTCTTCACATGCCTGCCCTGTGCGCGTGGGCTGGGAGAGGGAGCAGGGCTGCTGGGCGCCCGAGGGCTGCATGCCGTGCCGTGGCTGCTGCCCACTGGCAGCTGCAGCGCCACGCCCTCACTGCCACGCGCTGTCTGCTGCGCCTCACAGTTCCCAATAGGGGAAGAGAACACAGCGGGCGGCGGCATGTGGTTGCTACGCGGTGACAGCTGGGAGTGGGGACTTGGCAGGGTCGGTCGGGTGCGTGCTGAGTTGCTGCGACTGACCGCACCGCGCGGGCTGCTCAAAGGACTGCCCAGGGGGCTGTTCAGGGGGCTGTGTTGCGAGTGGCAAGGGGCGAGGGGCGGGGCGAGAGAGAGTGGAGGGACCACGGGGTTGGAGCGGAGGGGGTGGGAGGGGCTGGCAGCAGGGCGATGGGCAGGGTCAAGGCTGTGGGGCGGGGCACTGCCCCGAGGGGACCCAAGGCTGCCAAGGCTCACAGAGTTGCGTGGTGCGTGTGAGCGTGGCTTGGGGCTCAGAGCAGGTCGGGGGCTTTGAGGTGGCTTGGACGGCGGAGAGGAGCGGCTGTGGAAGCTGGCAGACATGGCGTGCGCGCCGCGTGCATCATCAGCATGGCCCCACTCGCCCCGCCTCTCCTGCCTCGCCTCCTCCTCCTGCCTGTGCCCCGCCGTGCCAGCATCCGCTGCGAGCCACGCCTGCTGGGATGCAGGGTAGAGGTCTCTGGGCGCAGGGCAGGGCGTTGCCGTGAGAGGGCGGTGGGGTAAGAGGGCCCCATCGGAATGGAGGGGAAGCACGGGGCGGGGAGGGGCGGAAGCTTGGCGGGGAACGGGGGGGGAGTGGGTGGTGGTGGGGAGGGGCGCCCACTGCACCGTGGCACCTTCCTTGGATCTGCTTCGCTGCCTCCCCTCCTGCTCTTGCCACTCCTGCTGCTGCAGCCACTGCGCTCGCTGCTGCTGCCTCGCACTTAGAACCGCTCTGACCTGCTCCTCCTCCCTGCCTCGCTCCCCGTGCCCACCTGCCCCTCTCCCACCCGCCCTGCTCGCTGGCGGACTGCCACCTCCCACCGTCGCCTGCACGCGCACCTGCTCGCCCTCACCCCCACCGCGCATGTCCCCTCCGCCCCTGCACTGTGGATCGCCCACGATGCCGGCCTGTGTCATGCCCGCGTCCATCCGCTCTTCCCCGCACTGCATGCCCTCTGTGCCCGCCATGGCAGGCGCCAACCTTTCCGCGACCCTGCCGCTCCCCTGCTGGATCCCTGAACCCCTTTCTGCCTCCCCCACTGCACCCCCTGCTGCTACCGCCGCGTCCAAGCTCTGCACTGCCCCATTCCAACTCACGCCTCCCCGCCTGCCCTCCTGCCCCCCGTTCCCCGGGTCCGCGCGCCCTGCCACCGCCACCTCCCCCAGCTCCGCCGCCTCTCTCTGTTCCGCCTCCGCCACTCGCCTGCGGTGCTCCACAAAGCTCCGCACCACCACCACCTGCGACCGCGGCGACGCTGCTGCTGCTGCTGCCGCCGCACAGGGGGAGCGCGGCGACCTCAGGAGCGACTTGGCGGATGCTGCTGCTGCGGGGTCGGTAGAAGAGGCGGTCGGGGAGGGTTTGGGGGAGGCGAGTGGGGAGGTGGAGGGCGACAGGGGCGGGCATCGCTGGTGCAGCACTTTGAGCGCCTGCTGCTGTGCGCTCTGCTGCGGGCTGGGCTGCGGGCTGGGCTGCGGGCTGTCCACGGAGTTGCGGCGCACGTTCAGCTGCGGCAGGGCTGCCTTGGCGCGCCATCTGCTGCCCCGCCCACTGCCGGACGCCCACCCCTTGTCCTCCTCCCCTGCACTCGCCCTCTCCCCCGCGCCCTCCCCCATCTCAGCGGTCACTGTCGGCTCTCTTCCGCCCTCGCTGCGCCGGCCGCCCACCGCGGTCTTGCGCCATCCGCCGCCCCGCAACGGACTGCTCCTACCGCCACCCACAACCTCCGCTTCCGCTGACCTGCGCGCGTCGGAGAGCGACGCTGGCGGGGCGGCGGCGAGGGGCGACGCGATTGGGTCGAAGGTGCGGCTCTCCAGAATACCCGGCGCCTCGGCGCTCGTCGCCGATACAGCGCGCGCCACCGACGCTGCGGCGGCTCTGGGCGAAGTGGCGGCTCTGGGCGAAGTGGAGGACCTGGGCGAAGAGCGAAGGGTTACCGACTTGGCGAAGCCGGGAAGCGACCAGGCGGTATCCGACGGGGAGGTGGGAGCGGCGGGGGGGCTGATGGGGGAGCGGAGGTTGGGGGAGGAGCGCGACCACTGCCCCAGCTGGAGAAACGGCAGCGACCCCGCCGACTTGGACGGCTTATGCCCCGCCGCTCGCTCCGCTTCCCCTCGTTCCTCCCCGTCCCCGTGCGCCTGCGCCTTGCCGTCCGCCGTGGGGGTGAGCGGATGCCGCGGCGACGACTGGGCGTCCGCAGGGAGCGCGGAGGGGTGGAGCGGGGAGAAGGAGAAGGAGAAGGGCACGGCCGCAGCCGACCACTGGCGCGTGTGACGCGCGCTGCGCGTGTGCTGCGGCGACGAGAGCGGCGACCCCGCCGACCACAGCGAGCGAACGCGTCGATTGGTGAAGCTGCCGCTGGCATGGCGGCGGGGCGACGAGGTCGCAGCGGGCGACGCATCGCTGGGCGACCGCAGGCTGCGCGTGCTGTCGCTCTCCTCTACCTCCTGCCACAACGCCTCCAGACGCTCCTGCGCCTCCTGCCGCTCCTGCGCCTCCTGCCGCTCCTGCGCGCACGGCACGCGCAATGCAAGCGGATTGTCCGCGCCGACACGCGGAGAGGAGTCGAACGGTGGGCGAGCGGGCGACGACATGAGGTCGCGGAGCTCGGCGCGCTCTGTCTCCGCGCTGCCCGGCGCGCTGACGGTGCTCGGCGGTACCTCACACAGCAGCACGGCGGATGCCGCAGCCATCCGCGCGACTGTACGGCGCACGCGAGGAGAGGAGCGAACGAGACGAGTGGAACGAGGTGCGCGCCATGGGGTGGGTGGCGAGGATGTGGAAAGAGGTGCGAGGGTGACTCATAATCGTGCAGGCAGGAAAACTAGGGCTATGACTCTGAGGACCGCTGCGGTTCAGGCGGGCTGGGCTGCTTTGCTGTCTGCCTGTTGCATGCATTCCGGTTTGGTTTGGAGGTGCACGGATTGGATTGGGTGATGCGTGTCACAATTGAATATTCGTACTGGCGCGAGAAACCGCTTTAGAGTGCAACAGCATCGTACTCAACCGCTTTAGCCGGGCAAATCCCATCCCTCCAAATCGTGATTGAATCGGACGACGGTGAGCGTCCACCGTGTGACCCGAGGGTTGCGATCGGGATCACGTGGCCACAAGTGACGTGATGATGGTGAGATACTTTTCGCTGCGGGAGCGTTGAACCGCGATTCACATATCCCCTCCTCCCCGCCCCCTCTCCTTCCTGCCCCATTGGTTCCAACTGCCCTCGGTGAAAAGTTCGGTACGTAAGGGATAGTGTGTGGTGCATTTCTGGAAAGGTCCGGATGGGAGCCTATTCGTAATTCAAGTTGCTTACACCGTTTCCACCAGCTGTTATGCTGACAAAGGCGACAACACCAAGCTCAGCGCCACGATACATATCCAGACCACCACAACAGCAACTCAGCCTGTCCTCCATTCGGCCGCGTCCTTTCCACGGCGCTCGCTTCCGTTCGATGCTGCTTGCGCACTCTCCTCCCACCCCCCCCGCCTCACCCCCTACAAACTCCTCTACCTTCTCTCCTCTTTCTCTTTCCCGCCTTGCTCTCTCTTTGCCTCTCTCGTCGCGCGTCGGGCAGCGGCAACGTGCGTGAGGTGTGGGGTATCCGCGCCTGGCCGTGTCCGGGTCTGCCTTGTGATGCGTGACGGATGTCCATAGCCGATGCGTGACGGAAGTCCATAGCCGATGCGTGACGGAAGTCGATGGGAAGTGACAGCGTGACGAGAGTCCATGGATATCGAGACGGAACCGCTTCGTGTCAAGGCCACGGGCTTTAAGAGGCGCCACTATGTGAAGCTCTCGGCGCTCCGCCGGTCCCCCGAGCCCAAGCGACCGCCGGGCAGCATGGCGGCGGAAGCCCCGCTGGTGCCGCGGACGGCCAGCGGAGGCGGTGGCAGCGGAGCAGTGGATGGGGGGAGCGGAGGCGCGGGGTTGGGGGGAGCCGACAAAGAGGGCGAGCAGGCGTCGCGGAGCGCGTGTCCGTTTGTGGCGCCGACGCTGGCGTTTCTGGTGGCCAGGCGGCGCGCGGTGCTGGTGTGTGCGTCGGCGTTTTGCGCGGCGGTGGCGGCGGGGCTGTTCTGCCTCGTGTACTTCCTCCACCTCGCCTCCTACCAGGTGCCGTCACTGCGCGCACGGGCTCCGTCGGAGGAGGGCTGGGCAACAGGGTTGGGGCATGAAGGGGTTGGGAGAAAGGGGTTTGGACGATGCTGGGATGAAGTGCGATGGTGGTGATTTCAGCAATGTAGTATTGTGACACTGTGGATTGCATTGTGATGTGCCGTGTCTGCCTCTGTTGCATGCTTCTAACACTTTGTGCGATGCGGTGTTGCCTTGCGTCATGCGGTGTTTCTGTGTGCAATGTGATGTGTGTGATGCGGTGCTGCTGTGTGTGATGCGGTGTCCATTGCACGTGCATTGCACCGCACGCCATGCAGGCATCGCTGTCATCGCAGTGTGCGCTGTGGGCGCACGAGCTGGGCAGTGCATTGCAAGCATCGCTGGGAGGGGTGCGCGCGCTGGGGGACACGCTCACAGTGCTGCACGCGGCCGTGGACCAGGTACGCATGCTGCCACTGCATTGATCCCCCTCGTTTCATGAAGCGCCTCCCATCATCCGCTGTTGAGCAGCTAGTGTGGCAGCGCCTTCCTACATGGTTTGCTCGTCGCGTTGTTCATTGCCCGCTAGTCGTTGCCCGTTGCTGTGCTGGTTGCTCATAGGCGGCAACCACTTCCCACCCCCCCTGCGCGCGCTGCATGCATGCGGGGAGCGGAGCAGGCGGCGTTCTCGCGCCTGGTGGCCTCCACCGACTACACGCGCCCGCTGCTCGCCTTCCCTCCCCCGCCCCCTCTCGCCACTGCAGCAGACGCGGGGGCGAGTGGGTGGGGGCAGGGGGCGAGCGCCATGGGGTACGCGCTCTCGCTCAACCACTCCTCGCGCGCCGCCCTCCAGAACAGCTTCCTCAACGCCACCTGTATCTGGTGCGTGTGTGGCCCCCTCTCATGCCCAACCCCATCCCTGTCCCCTCCTGCCATGTCATCTCGCACTTGATTTGTGTAACCCTTACAGTCACCACGCCTCACATTCTTTCCTCCCTAAGTCACATTCCCCTCCACCCCTCAGTCTCTCCCCTTTTTGCATTCTCTCTTCTCTTCACATTCTCCCCTCCCCTCACATTCTCTCCCTCCTCGCCTTGTCGCCTCCCCTCAGTAGCTCCGTGCTGCCCAACCATCCACGTGCACACCACTCCCCACCCTCCGCCCCATGCCCACCCTCCGTCTCCCCTCTGCACTCTGTTGTTGTCCTCCCTGCATGCATGTACGCGTTCAGGAATGTGAGTGGAGGGTGCGCGCCTCAGCAGCAGCACTACCTGCCGCTGCTCCACTACTCGCCCACCCTCGCCACCATCCTCTCTCACCTCGCCACCCCCAACAGCAGCACAAGTGGCGTGGGGGCGGCTTATGTTGGACTGGACATGCTTTCTGGTGTGTGTGGTGAAGAGGGGGGAAAGGGTGGGTGGGGAAGTGGGGGCGTCTGTTGCTACTATATCCAGAAGCTACCACATCTCATAGTTTTGAACCTAGTATTGCCTGTTCCATTGCCTGCCAGCCACCCATGCCACAGCACACACACGACTCGCTACGAGCTTCATTCAAAGCAATGCCTCCCATTAGTCAGTACCAGCATCCCACACCTTTTCAAGCGCAAGCCCTGCACGCCACGAGCCATTTTCCTGCCTGTTACCCTCCACCGGTGAATGCCCAATCCCCCTCCCTCCTCTCCCGCACAGTTCCCCAGCTGGGTCCCGCGGTTGCCCTCTCGGCGCTCTCCGCCCTCTCTGCCAGCCTGCCCTGCACCCTCTCCCCACCCTTTGCCCCTCGCTTCCCCTTCCCTGACAACTCCTCCTCCGCGCCCACCTCTGCCCCCACACCCACCACCATCACCTCCTCCTCTTCGACCAGCAGCAGCGACCAACCGAGGTCGTTTCCTGCTAATACATCTTTGGCAGCAACAGCAGCAGCAGCAGCAGCTCAGTCGCCTGCGGAGCAGCAGCAGAGAGCAGTGGTGGCATCAGTGCCCGTGTATGGACGAGCCATGCCGCCCAACGCCACGTCAGACGAGATGCAAGCATCAGTGATAGGATTCGCGTTTGCAGTGGCTGACATGCAGCTCGCCCTCTCACAGCTGTCTCAGGTACTTCCTTCCCCGCCTCATGCCATGCCTCCTCTCACCCGTGCTCCCACCGCTCCTCTTGTCTCAACATGACAGTTTCAACCGAGCTGCCCAACTTGCACTTCCATCCCTCACACCATCATCCATGTGCTGCTCCCCTCCTGCTCCTGCTCCTCTGCACCTCCCTCGCCCCCTCTCCCCCTCCTCCCCTGCAGGCGCCGTCCAGCAGCAGCAGCAGCTGTGGGTCAGCGGCGCTGCTGCTGCAGCTGCAGGACACCACGGCCGCCACCACCACGCTCGTCCTCGCACAGTATCCCCCGCTGCAGCCCCCCGCCATGCCTGAGGCGCCCTCGTCCTTCCCTGCAGCGCACGCCGTGCCTCTGCCGGCAGTGGGCCGCCAGTACACCCTCGCTTGCAGGTACCACAGCCTGCCGCCCTGCTCTGCCTTTCTCCGCTCTCCGCTCCTTACCACTTCCTTCCTCTCTTTCTCTTCCTTCCTTCCCCCCTCCTGTTTTTCATATTCGTTCTGCCCCTCGTCCCTGCGCTCTGCACCTTGCCCCATGGTCTGTATCCCGTCCTGTGCGTGCTCGTGGTTGCAGGTACCAGTCACCGCCGTTCCCGTACATGGCGGTGGTGTGGCCGTGTGTGGCGGTGGCGGGGGCGGCGCTGGTGGTGGCGGTGGTGTACGTGGTGGCGGGGGAGGTGGTGCGCGTGGAGGGCGACCTGCAGCGCATGGCGGCGCTCAAGGAGCAGATGCGCGCCGCCAAGGTGGCTGCTGAGGCCGCCAGCCGCGCCAAGGGCACCTTCCTCGCCACCATGAGCCACGAGATCCGCACTCCCATGAACGGCGTCATTGGTGCGTGCCTCTGCGACGCTCTGCTGTCCCCTGCTCTGCTCTGCTGCGCTGTTCTGTGCTATGCTGTGCTGTGCCCACGCTGGCTCCGAGGCGCACATATGGGTCACTGAATTGTGCAACCCTAAACCCGAAATCCATGGGTCACTGCATGCATGCACGCATGGCTGCATGTTTGCCACCTCTGATGTGTAGTCAAATGATGGTTCTTTGATGCTTCCGTTCTTTCCCTTCCCCACCGTCCCTTCCCTTCCCCTCTCCCCCCTCTTTCCCTTTTGGGCACGGTTGGCAGGCATGCTGAACCTGCTGCTGCAGACGCCGCTGGACGCGGTGCAGCTGGACTACGTGGAGACGGCGCGCACCAGCGGCAGGGCGCTCTGCTCCCTCATCAACGACATCCTCGACCTCTCCAAGATCGAGGTGGGCCCTGCACTCCCGCACTCCACACCCACATGCCCCCTTCTCTCCACACCTACGTGCACCGCACCGCACTGCACTCCACACCCACATGTGACATGCCACCTGCTCTCCACACCTACGTGCACCGCACTGCACTGCACTCCACACCCACATGCCACCTGCTCTCCACACCTACGTGCACCGCACCGCATTGCACTCCACACCCACATGCCACCTGCTCTCCACACCTACTTGCACCGCACCGCACTGCACT